TGGATTGCTGGCAATTCCAGTGCTGCCTCAATAAACACATCCCCACATGCTGATTACAAGGGCACAGGCAGCCAATAGAAGATGGCTAGCAGGGGCCACGATCTCAAGGCCAAGGCTCAGAAAATCCTGTACAATCACATCTGAATACTGTTGTAGAGCAAAGATTGTACAAGAGTCTCAGTGCCAGGGAAGTCAAGGCAAATCCAGTAAATCAGCAAAACTCCCTGTGTGGTAACTCAGAGAACGTGGTCTTTAAGCAGACGGTGATTTGTCTCCACCAAACTTCACAGCAGATAGTTTGATGACTGAAGCTGGCTATGGCACAGACAGTCCTCAGAGCAAAAGGTGTCAATGCATGTCACTAATAATTGCCCTTTAGGGATGCAGGATGAATCTTTCAAGGCCAGTAAAATAATCCCGATAGAACTGCTACCAGAGCTGCCCAGTACTTCCTGCTGTTGTGTGAGAAGAGCGAGCAGACAGGACATACCAGGGCAAAGGCTCTACCTGCAAGCCTGGCTTTGGCGAATGCAGGTGTAAACTTGCTACCCTCCATCATGCTTGCTTGCTGCCCTTTCTGTTCCTGGACTTTTCAGTTCATTCCAAGACACACTGCAGAGGGAAAGAAACATGGATGCACGGCCAAGTCCCTTTCTTCTGCTTGGCACGAGCATTGTGGCATTTGTAGCAGCATCTGACACCTTTAAACACACATCTGCCCGCAGGATTTGCAACGGCATGCCCGTGGAGCGGCTGAGCGAGCACATCCTAGGCCAGCTTCCTGGTTACATGTCTTAGTTATTCCTCAGGTGGGATGGAGAGGATGTTTCCAGGTCTTCTCCATGCTGCCAGTTCACCAGCCGTTACTCTGCTCCAGTCACCAGCTGCCAACAACATACCCTCAACAAAAAACTTCTCTGACAGAAGGCTGAAAAAAGTTCTTTTCGCAGACATACTGCCCCAAAGGTCAGTGCACAGCCTGACGGTTTGCTCCCTTGACTTCATCTCAATCTACTCCAGCCATTCCCAGCTCAATGCACTTTTTGCAAGCGCTTGTCACTTCCTTACTGACAGAGCACCGACACTCTGCAGGAACAGAGGGAACTGTAAGATTGAAAACCATGGGAGATAAGAAATACAGGCCACAAAGGGAGTCTGCTGATTTTTTTCATTAGCACTGGCAAAACACAGCTGCAACAGAAAAGGAGATGTCAGAGACCAAAACCCACTGTAGTTGGACAGGATATTGGGAAAGCAAGAGCATCAGCTGCAGAGGAAGGCTTCAGCAAAACCTGCTGAAGGATACGGAGCCCCTCCCAAGCAGCACCTAATCCTGAACCGCCCCGATAGATACGGAAGCAGAACAAGGGACCTGACAGTATGTTTCACTACACACGAGACAAGAGCCTTGTCTGTCACTACAGACTGCACCTCCATGAGACAGTGTTGGTGGGGTTTTTTTATTATTTTTTTTGTGGTTTTGCTCATATACTTTGCTTTGGAGGCAGCTGGGCACTTTCTGGAGCAGCAGCACTAGTTGATAAGTACTCTGAAAATATTAAGAACTAACACCGATTTGCTTTACTCAGGAGAGAGAAATGCAACACTTGCAATCGGTGCTAAGTGGGGAACAGTCTGTGTACAAATACTGGATTTTCAGCTTTTAGATGGCTGTACAGGCAGACAATGCCCACTAGTTTCCAGCAACTTCTCTGTGCAACAACTCCTAGTGCTCAAAACTAAGCCAAGTTGCACAATTTCCCTTTTTGGAACTTAGTGATGTAAAGTGATGATCCTGGAAGATTTTTTTTTTTTTTTAAATCTACCATCTCAGCTTGCTGATAGGTTTAACACACACCTTGCACCCAGAGAGAAGAGCAGCTGCATAGCATGACAGTCTGCAGAACTAGCCAAGATCTGAGCTGAGAGTTGAATCATAAGACAGAGTGGCATAGAGACAACTTATCTCTGTGCATCTTTTTTTGTTTCATCACATGCTTCAGGGGAAGTCAGCTGTAAAACCTGGAGTTTCATTCCTGTAATAAGCATCAGCTTTGTGTGAGGATGTAAACCATATCAGAACATGAGCAGAACTAGTCCACATGCCAAGTAGAACTGCAATTATCCTACAACAACATTTAACAGTTCAAGTATTTACATATGCCTTGCAACTATGAAGCTGCTGCATAGATGCTGCCAAAACCCTGTCCAGGAGCAGAAGGAAGACTACGACATTCAGGAAGGAAGCTCAAGGCCTCTCAAGTGTGAGCTCTAGGCTGCCTTCCACAAGTTATTTTCATTGAGGAGCTTCACCAACATCCTCGATCTTTGATCAAGGAAACTTTGGTATCAGAATTTGCAGGCCTCCATTTAACCCTGCATTACACAGCCAAGAAGTTGAACTGCCTCTGTCAGCAGCAACATGTTCTCAGCAGAAGCAGCAGATCCATCAGCCGCTGTCCCAGCGTAGAGTTTTGCTACATCCACAACCTGGAACCAGCAGCAGTCATCGCAAGCTTCTTTTGAAAGGTTCAGCTAACCAGCATGTAAAGCCAGGGATGCACCCACGTAGCAGAGCTTTTCTGCAGACTCAGAGAAACCCTGATTCACAAGAAATCCTCCATTTCTTTACATGGTTCAGTGTTTTGTTATTGAAAAACCCGATCAAGAAAACACTATTCCCAGTATTGTTTTATTTTTCTTGAAACAATATACAGCTTACCAGCTCTGCATCTGGGGGTAAAGGATGTTATTACACCAGCTGGGAAGCGGGAATATGAGACACAGACAACCTGGACAAAACAGACAGCGCTATCCCTGCAGGCCTCAAGATAGCACTTGAAATACAAGGGAAGGGCAAAAATATACTAAAAACAGATTCAGAAGCTATGGTAATTCGTCAGGTTTATGCATCAAATCACACTTTTGTGCAGAAACTATACATAGAAATGAAAGCACTGTCCGAGACATTTCAAGACACATCATAATTTAAGAGGAAACTTCAGCTTCAAACTACTTAGTCAGCAAGAATCCAGTTTCATTGTTATGCAATTACCTGGCAAAGAGACTATTGACTGTGACAAGTTTCAGCCTGAATACACTTAGAAATAAGTAAAAACTCCACATTTAAAATACGTTATTTTGCTGTATTTGGTCAAAAAGATAAAGACTTTTCATACAAATGTCCTCATAAAAGGTAAAATTTTCCAGTAGGCCAACAGTAAGGTCTTTGGCATTTACCTGCTTTCCAGGTTGATCGAGCAGGCTGTTAATGAAGGTATTTGTCCCCAATCTTGAAGCAGCAAACCACCTTTTTATCCTGAAGTTAGCAATTTTGTCAAGATTTTTCACGTTTTCAGCACGAGCTCTACACTTAAGTAGTTTCTGTTGACTTCTTAAAGATTTCTATGTAGTTTTTGTTGTTACTGAAACCAGATGTTGAACTTGGGCATCATAACATTTGAGCCAGTTATTTCCTATGCTCATGAATGGAGATAGTTGCTTTTTGATAAGTAACACTGAAGTCACTTTCCTAGACTAACTGTACTGCTAAATCTTCTTTGGAGGTGCAGCTTGTATCAGCAAAACAGTGCTCTGCTTTTACTGCAATAGTTTACATCAACTCTGAGACACGGTATCTTCACAAGGATGAAAGCTATGCTTCTCTGACTGCTGCCAGCACAGAAGAGCCACGCACACACTTCTAAGCTGTATTAGGATGGCCTCTGGAGAAGGCCTGGTGGTCAAGCAGCCCATTTTTCACTCTTCCCCTCTCAATCCTCAGAATTTTCTGTATTTTTTTCAGCAATGCCTCTCCCAGGGCACAGTCAATCACACAAGAACTATACAACATTTCTCAGAGCCCCAAAAATAACGTTACAAAACAAAGCAAGGCCTCTCTGCTTCCCACTCTTTGCCAGCACTTTGTTTTTAAAAGGTACATTTGGGAAAGTTCACATCCCATTAGACATTCAGTTTTCTTTCTTTGCTTAGTCTCAAGGCCTGCTATGTTCTAGCGATACCACCAGCTTTGGGTTAAGCACGCTCCCTTCCCTTTTCCAAGGAGCACCTCTGGTTTACTGTGTTCTGGACATGTCATCCAGCAGGACAGACAAGGGCTGAGACATAAGCCAGTTCACATCAGAAGTTTACAAAGCATTGCCACCATCCACTGTAAAAAGAAAAGTCTGGAGCCTCAACATGGGCAAAGTGTTTGTAGCCACCTGCATTTAAATGACCTCCGTCTTCCAGAAAAAAAGTCCAAATTACAGAAAGACCCTCTTGTCTCATTTCAGGTTATTTTTTTTTTTCATAATTCATATACAAAGTCACCCAGATTTGCACAGCCACTTGGATAAACCCTAAAACATGGAATGTCCTCAAATCTGCAAATTTTGGCTCCAACATCCACATAACACAGACAAATATTCTATTAATGTCAGTCTCTCTAGTTTTTTCTCTTTTCTACAAAGGAAAAGCCCCAACACCCATCTGAGTGGCTGACTGCACTTACAGTAACAGCCACATGAATTTTACAAAGACGAACAAAAATAGCTTCAAAGAGCAGCACCCCTTAAATATCAGGTGGATTACACACTAGGCCTTTCAGGTGCTGGACCACCAAGAAAAAGAAATACTCAGAAATTCTGGATTAAACGAAATTAAGCCCAAAACGCAAGTAAGCTACTTGCTTTCAAAATCTGGTACGGTTACCACTGTCATACTATCTCGAGGCACTGTAACACCATTTTTCTTAACTTGGATGACTTTATTTTGTATCTTATGAGAAGCTGCTGTTGTGAAATAGTGGATGTTCCAGCACCTGTAATACCGTAAACAAAGAATGAGAATCCACATTTCTACAGGGAGAGAGGAATCCTTTGCCTAGTTTGTCACACCTCTTCTCATATCCACTTCTGATAGGAACTACTACTAACAAAAAAGTGCTAGCACACAGGAAGATTTAGTTCAGTCACTCAGATGTAATAAGGTCAAGGATTTCATCTTCGTTTTGTGCCCCCAAAGCCTGCAAAGAAAAAAAAAGTGTCAGCTCCACCACAGCCTTTCCACTGGGGTCTCCCCAGTTCTAGAAAGACTAAAGGTGGTAAGCGAGATGAGTTAAACACATTCACGTGAAATAGAACAGCAAGCAACTGTAGAGCTGACTGGCCTGAAAAACACTCTATTCTTGTAGATTAGACAACCTGCTTTCTACAAAGAAGTCATGTTCGTACATGTTTGCTAGAGAAGGGCATGTGTAGTGTACACCAAAGGTGACAGCCTTCAACTAATGCACCTTGTAGACAAAGACAAACCCAGTGCTGGTGGTAGCACGCCCACTGTAGGCCTGTGTGGAGTTTCACACCCCACAATGCTGCCCTGCTTCCATAGGAAACAGAAATAAGGGACACACCCATCTGTACTAAGTGGTAAAATAAAGAATACTTGCTGAACCTCAACTAATATCTGTGTGTTTTTGACAGGTCAAAGTCTTTCAAGTTTCAGGAGGTTAAAAGGTCTTTTGCCTTACCAGAAGCAGTTCTTGTTCCTGAACTGCTACCTTGTGTGGAATTGCTTGACTGCCCATTCATCGGAGGTGCAGCTGTGGGATCTGTCCACATACCGTAATACGGGGAACGTGGCTGTGCTCTGATGAGGAACAGAGTAGAAGAAAGGCTTCATTAGTGCCCTTCTGAGAAAATAGGGAATTGCCATTCCAAACAGCAAGACTGCATCTCTGAAGGAAACCTGTAAGCAGGAAGCTGTTTCAAAGCTGGAAATCTCCCTGTTAAACGTAATTAACATGTTGAGAGCAAGAATACCCAGTGTTGTCACAATGACATCTGTAGACTTCCAAAAGGAAGTTAAACCTCATTCTTCAGGATAAACAATTCTAGCAATTGCAAATGAGGAAGATTTTTCCCTCTGGAATTCTGACCTTAGATTGTCAGACAAGAAAGTAGATTTGACATCTGAAAATTAAATGCATTTTAACATCACCTATGTCCCAGCCATGTAAGACAAAAGAAAACATCTCTCTGTTATGTTAACTATTTTGAAGAGGTTGTATCAGTAAGACTAACATATCACAGCCTTTGACTCACTGATTTAAATTACTTGCTTCTACGGATATGGAATTTCCTGCTGTTGAAATTTACAGCTATCTCACTTCTCTGGCACCATCATTAAGGCACGCTATTTCAAACAACTAGAAAAAGAAGTGGACCAAAGACTGTTTGAAAAAAGAAGCCCAGATTAGGAAGCTTGTTAGTGTATTTGGACTTAAATATTCAGTTAACCTCTAATATTGAACAATAAGAGGTGGCTACTGAAATGGGAGGGTAGAGGTGGAGTGGGATGTGGAAATCAAGGAACAAACCTGTATGTAGATATTACAAATACAACGCTTAAACACAAAGGTTATGTATTAAAGACTTAAATATCATATCGATAAAACCTTTAACACGTTATACCTTTTAAGAATTCTTAGCAGGGTTAATATAATAAGACAAGATCATAGAATCATTTTGGTTGGAAAAGACCTTTACGATCCTAGAGTTCAAGATAAGACCTTTCAACCTCTAAAGCTCTACTCAAAGTGAGTTTATAGACAGTTTCCACTGCTGATGGCACCACTGTGCCAGTTTCATCTTACTTCATTCTATGAGATCAAGACTGCACACTGGACACTACAGAAATTCTCTTATGCCCCAAGCTTTTACTTCCTTAATAAATAGACAATCCTGATAAGGCTTCTGTCACTACAGAAAAAAAAACTTTACAATGGAGAAAGATGCTTTAATGCATCCCTGTCCACAGGATCTTACTCCTAAACTTTCAATATAAAAAGCTATATGTGGTTATATTTAGTCTGTTGTATTTCTGCATTCCTACAGGATTAGACTTGACGCACATGCAGTTATTTGGTAAAGAGGAAACTGCACAGACTCTAAATATTCCCTGCAGGAGCCACATATTTTGTCTAGTGAAGCCTAAAACGGCAGCAATTGCTCCCTTTAAACTGTTTATCTAAAAATGATGTATTTTAAATGTTTAAAAATGTTTAGCAAATGTGACCAGCAGATGTTTACTCCAGCACTGACACTGCTTTTGAATGCGGTTTGTGCTATGTTTTTCCAAAATGCACCTTACATATGACCTACAAGTCCTTTGGAAAACCACACCTCTTGGATTTCCATACGTGGGCCATTAGAAGACTGTAGATTAAAGGCTGTTTAATTTGACCGCACCAAGAACCACAGAAGAATAGCTGCCATCCAGACTGGCTTTACAAGAGACCTATCTACAGGAGGTTTTACGCTTAATATTGTTATTTGTGTTTTAAGGCAGTCTGCAGATGGACTGTTTACCACACATTTTAGATTTGCAGGCCATCATGCCAGGTGAGAGTAAACAGCTAAGGCAGAATGAAGTACCTCAGTCCTCCCAGTTGTTCTCCCCCAGAAATACATTTGAAACATCTCTGCTGCTGGACCTACAGACTGCTCCTCAAAATTGTTCTAACAGGTAGGATATCATAGCTTGAACAACACAGGCCTGAAAGCTTAGAAACAATGTAAGCATAGGATATGGCATACCCCCCGAAAGCTTAAACACTTAAAAACTGACAGCATGCATATTTTACCTGTGACTGCCAGCCAAGTAGCCTAGCAAGCCTCCTGCTCCTAATCCAGTCCAAAATCCTGGTCCTGAATTGGTTCCATAATGGGAATGGGTATCAAAGCTGTTGCCTTCTTAAATATAATGAAAATGGAAAATGTATCAGTTAGTGGCACCTAATCCTCAGGCCAGCTGTTGCAATAAGACTCTCCCCTGTTAAAGGTAACAGAAAATTAGACAATCAACAATTTACTGAAATCAGGAGGAGTTTATCAAGTTTAACTTGAAAAGCCTCACAGTTCAGAAAGCAAGAAAAACCAGACACAAACACTAATATAAAGAGTTTCATGTCAAATATTAGCTTCCACTCAATCTTACAGCCCTTATGTTTGCAAAACATGGCAAAGAGTCCCTGCCTGCAGATTTATAAACAGGCAAGGTAGATTAAAAACAGAAAAGAAAATCAAGAAAGAACAATCTGCTCAAGGTCACACAGCAGGCCAGAAGCAGATGCAGGAACAGAATCAAGTGCATAAGACTAAGCAGTGAACTAACCAGTAAGAGACACTGTTTCTAATCTCACTCAGAACAGCTGCACATTTTGAGTAACAGTGGCTCAGTCTAATGACTAACATTACTTTGTACTGTTTTTGGTAATCCTAGCCTGGTATTTCTTATCAAAAGACATGCTAACTGCAATCACATTGCAAAGTTTATTATGCATGAGTCACCAAAGCTTGACAAATACCTTGACGAAACTGCAAGCATGTCAAGTGGGTTGTGGGGGGAGGAGAGTCACACTTCTACATGTGACCTGCGTAAAATGAAGTTCTGACTCAGAACCAAATGTTTTCCATTTAGAAACAAAAAGAGAAGATGCAAAACCAAAGCAGAATCATTTTCTGGTCTAGAGAAAAACACAGATGCAAAAATAAGCTCAATCACATGTTTAACACATTAGGAAGTGTAAAAGGCAAGGACTGAAAAGAACTTTACGGTCTCCCCGAAATACGCCCACCTAAATAAGCGGACCAGACATTTTATATGCAAGTTATACAGTGTCTGGCTTGTCTTCAAGCTGGTGTGGACTGTCTGAAGTCATGGAAGATAAAAAGAATAATTTAAATAATCAGTTTCAGTCTACATTGGATTTGATGCTGAATTTAATTTTAAATGCATTGGGAGAAAGATAAACTCTCACTGGGATAATATACCCATTTTACTGCGCTGCTTTGGAACAAAAAATATGGCACTTAGTTTACTGTAAAAAACAATGTCAACCAGGGAGATGAACAAACCATGGCTGAACACTGACTCAGAAAACTGAGTCATTTTTTGTTGAAATATCTAAAGTAAACATTAAGGATCATGTCAAACCAGTAAGATAGAAAAAGTAGAATTCAATTAAGATAGGCTAGCTGAACAAGTTTCAAAGAATGCATTCTGCAGACTAAGGGGATTTAAAATGAGGCAAATTAAATATTAACAGCAATAAGAGAACGACACTGAAAATCTGGACAGTAACAAAAAACAAAGGCTAACACATTCCTGAAAAATGGACATAAACACTCAAGATGCACTTTTGCTCTGCTGTTGAAATTTAAGGCAGATGCTAAATGCATGAAGTAGCATTAACACTTGATATTTCAAAGCTGGCTCCACATTCAAGAGTTTTCCTGCTTACTCTGCTTGAAATCTGAGGAGAAATCATTGACACAAGTTATTAAACATATGATGAGTTACGTCTTTTATGGCTCCCAATGTGCCTTTTCAGTAATAAACAAGAAAGCATCTTTTCAATGCCCTACCCTTGCTAGATTTCAGACTCCTGCAATGAAAAATGCATTGGTGCAATTAATTGACAAGGAACAGGTCAGAAAAAAGAAACTCCTCACTGTTTCGCCTGTGCCCAGTACAACAGCACCCTGTCTTACGACCCAGGTTCTTTGTAACTACCACAGTAACACCAGTGGCACGTGGCATGCACGCACAAAGTCACTGACGCACAGGCAGCATAAACAGACTGTCTCAAGTCTGAAATAACCACATGGAAACCAGTCTGCAAAGCTACGAGTAATGCAGAAGCAGAACCCCTTTAACTTTCCGCTGCAGGTCCATCTGAAAGGTTCTGCTGCACAAGCCCTGCACAAGGGTATCCAAAAGAGTTATACTGGCACCCTCTGTTGGCCAAGCGGCTTGGGCAAACCAGGAAGAAACTATTAACTAGCATTACTAAAAATACAAGCTTCTGACAAAGTAAACTTAATCCTTGCTATTTACTGACTTGGTAAGAACCCCTTCTCTATCTCACAAAAAAAAAAAAAAAAGATGGAGATCATGCAGCTTGTCAGAATACAGTTTGAGTTCCAGCACTGTGAGCATCTGACATGTCCACAGGGTGAAACAAGTTAGTTAGATACCAGAAGGATAACGTTTATTTTCCTCAGACACTATGACTGTCTAAGGCAGTCCACTTATTAAATGACAAGTCACCGGTTTCTGGGAAAAGTACATCTTGCCTAGCAGCAGCCTTGTTGCTGCTTGTACAATTTCCAATTTCAGATGAAAGGCACCACATGAGATTCAGGTGCTGCACTTGTAGCAATGGTTCACAGACACCGTTCTCTGCTCTGGGAACCAATTCTTTCAACCCCTGGGACTGCACTGAAGCACCTGTTGAGTATCATGTACCAGTCCTCTGTTTAACTCCATCAACTGCTTTGTGAATAACATCAGTGGTCAGACAGCCCAACAGCTGAAAGACCCCTCTGTAAAGTTTCAAAGCACTTCTTTGGCATGAGTTTGTTTCTGCCTGCGCAAGACTACTCTCTTCTGGATTACTTATGGAAATTACTCTTCCCTGTCACAATGCTCATATTTCACAGAGTATGAAAAGAATATTTGCAGAGCACGGGGAGACAGATTTTCAAAGGTTCAAAGGGCAGCTTGCCACACAGCCTAACCTGAAAGCCTGTGGGAAACCAGGTTCTTATTTTCACTTTTGGACAAAGAACTGAATGCAAAGCTGGCTGGAGGCCCTGCAGCCAGTTTAGGAGAGTCAACGGCCAGTGTCTTGGTTTTAAGTCTATCCCACCAACACTTATTGCGATAAGACAATACAACCCTGCTTGCTCTTTTGAGTACTATAAAAGGCTGAGTGCCCTACCTGTGAAGCTGGACTTAAAACCAGGAGGAGGTGGTGCCTGCTGACTCTGCCAGGAAGACCCAGTGAATCCATCTCTGTCACCAAAACTCTGCTGAGGCTGCTCGTTACTGAGGAAGAGCTTGTATACTCCAAAAGCAAGAACCAGAAGAACAATTACAACAATCGCTCCAGCACCAGAATCAGAAGACTCCTTCCTTGACTGATAATAGCCAGAGCCAAAGCTTCCAGAATTCTTCACCCTCCTTTCACCTTCCTCAGTCAGGTCTAGCCTGAACAGCAAACCACAGGAGCCTTTTAAGATGTAAGGATCATCTGGATAATCGTAGCCTTCACAGTTCACTTCAATTTGTCCAAAACGCTGGGTATTTTCCAAGTCTGCTTTGCACTCCCACTGAAAAAATAAACACAATACAAAGTAAAACCTGCTGCTTCAGAGACAAAAATACCAGCCTGCTTCCCCAAATATTCTCCGAAGTAAAGCTGAAATTGCTAACAAATCATCTAAAAGGCCACAGGGTAAGAGATTTCCAAACAGTCTTATTTTGAAAAGGATTAGGAATTTGAAATTAAATGAGAGTGTTTTTTAAAGTCCTAGAAATTAAAAAAAAAAATCTTACTTTTCAGAACATATAAGAGTTACAAGTCCAGAAGATTTTATTTTTCTTCCCTGAAAAGGTTTTTCAAGTACCCCTTCTTTAGGTATAAGAATACTTCTAAGAGTAACCTCTACTGTGTGCAACAGCAATAAATGCCTGTCCCACATAAACTGGATGGCAGCTACAAGAATATAACACGGAAGCCTGAAATCCAATGCACCTGATTCCATTTGTGTCCACACAGAAATCAACAGAAACTGGGACATACAGATACCATTAGGCCTTCATATGCAACATTTAAGAATCAGACTGCAATTCTGCAGCTGATCATATGCAGATTTCTCAGTCTCACATTTCCTTGAAGAATCTGAACTTAGATATCACCTCTAACCACAAGTGACACATTTTGGAATGGAAAAAAAAGTTGCTTCTAGCTTAATAATTCAGGAGAACAGTACCAGGTGTCGATTCAAAGTTGACTGTACTTTTACAATACTGTATTAAGCAATTATCTGCAGCTTTGATTCCTTGTTAATCTATTGGCAGATGCCTAGGTAACAGCTAAGGAAACAGAAATGCATGTCTGTCTGCCGCAACACCTGACTGAAGTACTAACACACTGCGTGAAGTCACAGAAATCTGAACTTTAGTTTTTAAAAGGCAGAGCTGAAGCAATGAAAATATTTATAGCTCTTTCTAACACTAAAAACTGGGAATCCATGCAGCAATACCAAAGCAAGAGTTCAAGGGTTCACAAGAGTCTGGCTTCATAAACGAGCAACGTGTTAGTTAAAAGCCATGAAGGCTTCCTCTGCAGTGTTTTTACAATTATAGCCTCCAGGGATATTTCAGAGATACATCTACAGTAGCTGTGCAAACCCAGAAGTATTTAGGTGAAGCTGGAGTTGTCAAAGCCCTCTGACAGACAGCAAACCCGACTGACAGCCGAGCCCGTTACGCTTTCCTCCTTCAGGAGTCACCAAGTCTGGGGCAAGACGGCTTCGCTAAGCGTTTAACAAGCTTTAAACAGTTACCTGCACGTCGTATCCATCCCAGCCTCTGTTGTGACACTGAACGACCTC